CTATAGGGCGTGTGCGCTCGCCAGAAAGACAGAGAGATAGAAAGCGAGAACTCACCCCCCAGGGGGGATGGCCATGCCGCAATTCCTTCTCCTCCATTCTCCTCTTGGGATCTTGGACACCCACACTCACGTGTCTGCCATGAGTTTAAGCCGCCAGGTCCAGGACTTGAACTGTGGTCAACTACATGGGAGTCCAGCAACATAGCCATTACACTAACTGCTGGTCCTACGCCTGGGATGAATTTAAGCCACCGGGTCTGAGGCTCGAACCGTGGTTGACTACATGAGAATTCAGTGACATAGCCATTACACTAACTGCTATTCCCCTTTATTTTCTGTCTTTGATTCTAGCTATTCTAGTTTATGTGAAGTATCGTGAGATCTCATTTTGGTTTCAATTTACATCTTCCTAAAGCACATATTTATATACCATTTTATCCCCCTCTCAGGGGAGGTACCTTGAATCTCATAACATATCAAAATGAGGAAGGGGTTGAAAAACAAACCCTTCTCCCTCAATTGGGACAATTTTTTTATTTTATTTACTTTTTTTTGGAGAGGTTTTCACTATAGGGCGCGTGCGCTCGCCAGACAGACAGAGAGAGACAGACAGAAAGCGAGAAATCACCCCCCAGGGGGAATGGTCATGCCGCAATCCCTTCTCCTCCATTCTCCTCTCTGGATCTTGGGCACGCACGCACACACACCCGGCGTGAGTTTTAAGCCACTGGGTCCGGGATGCGAACCGCGGTCGACTACGTGGGAGTCCAGTGACATAGCCATTATGCTAACTGCTGGTTCCCTCAATTGGGACAATTTTGAAGTGTTTCTAATACAGAGGCTTTTGTGGCCAAAGCCTCTTTTACAACTTTATTGCAGTTCAGTTCTCCTCCTGCCTGTGCTGTTTTCTTCACTGCCTTCCAGAGATGGTTCTTGAAAGCAGTGTCCCAAATGCATGCAAATTTCAGAGTTATAGAATTTGAAAATGCAACTATAATAGATGCATTAGTGACTCCTGTCACCTCTGTAGAGACAGTAATTAAAGAAGCTTCTAGTTTGAAGTAATCGTTGAGCATAGACATTAATAAAATGAGAAAGTGAGCCAACAAAATATCTGGGGGAAGAATTTTCCAGACAGGACAGCAAGTAAAGGATCCATGGCA